TTTGTGGTTGTGTGTTTGTGGTTCTGTGTTTGTGGTTGTCTTTGTGTTTGTGTTTGTGGTTGTGTGTTTGTGGTTGTTTGTTTGTGTTTGTGGTTGTGGTTGTGTGCTGGATGGTCGTGGTTGAGGTCCGGCAGGGCACACTGGGCGTGGATGGTCGTGGTTGAGGTCCGTCTTGTCCGGCCTGGTGAGTTGACAGAAGCGAACTCACAAAGTCACTGAAATACGTTGATCAACCAATGAACCCCCGACAAAACCATGACAAACCTATGTAATTCGAAAGATCCTTACGACTCAAAGCACTGAATGCTACGTTGGATTCACTTTCTCTGGGTGGTACTAGATTTACGAATGAATCCCAACACCAGCACTACCTTGAGGCACCTTTTTCATCTTCGTTCCATTTCGGAAGCTGCAATATCTCTCCAATAGTCAACTTGCTCGGAGACAGCCCGAGCCCTTTTTCGTGTTTTGGCAAGTTCGCTTCTGATTTCCAGCGTCCTGTGCAGGGACTCAAACTCGGTCAGCCTGAACAACATGTTTGGTTTTGATGCGAATACCATCTCAGTTGGCTACAAGTGCTTGAGATCTTAGAGTAACCGTACAAAATCACCCGTGCCATCCCTGTCCTCTTTCCGGCATCCAATTCCTCGTTCTTCTGTCCATTGCGTCTGAAGCGTTCAGTGAGATCGAGAAACCTTGCTTCATCCTGTTGCAGCTGTTGAAGCTTCAGTTGTATTTTCTCGAGCTCCACTCGTGCTGCCCGAGACTCACGGATCGCCACACTTTCGCCAGAACGAGATGCACCTGCCCTTTCAGCTCGTTGCAAAAGATCACGAAAAGCATCCCAACCAGCAGCTGCCCACTTGCTTGCTTCAGAAAAACCTTGTGATCTGGAGCTCCTTGTGGTCCCGCTTGACTGGAAGTTTGGCGCTTTGCTTTCCCATGTGTAGCTTGACCGGCTGCTTTTGTAGCTTGGCCCCCTAGATTCTGCTTTGCGAGACTGAGCTTGTTGTTCCCAGGTTTTCCGGTACAGGGGATCGATGAGCTTTCCATAGGCATCTGACAAACGCCGCCAGCGCTGCAAAGCGTCAGGGCTCTTGTTAACATCAGGATGCTCCTTTTTGGCACGCTGACGGTAAACCCGCTTGACCTCTTTGACACTGGTTCCAGGCTCTACTCCAAGGACGCTCCAATAGTCATCAGCATCAGCTCGTCTCAAAACATGCGGACATCTCTCGTTTGCTGGAAGGCCACAGAAAGTGTGCAATGAAGCAACTTCCGATGAGGGAAATAGCCTGCCACACAAATCAATGAGGCCAGCGACCAAAGCCACATTATGCCACTGGAAGACTCTGCGTGCCATGGTGCTGACGTGGTCGCTATCCGATATCCTTTCACTGTGGGTGCCATGCTAATTTGTTGGTGGGTTGAACAGGGCTGAGCTACATTTGCAGAGAAACAATTTCCACGGTTTTTTCTATTTTCTGGTCTGAACGTGTGGAGCAAGTGATTGAGTAGACGTCCAATTGGTTGAGAGCATGCTGATATGAAGAGCAAGGACCGTGCATGAGGTCAACCAAACAGCCAAATGCAGCAAATGGTGTCTACTTTCATTCCTACCCCCCAGCTGTTCTTAATTGAGTGACAGCAAAATGCAGAAGTGACAGCAAAGAATGCCCAGGTATATAATATATAATAGGTGGGTTGTTGAGGAGCGTCGAATACGGTGGATGAGCCCATCTTCGAACTTTGATGGCAACTAACTCTCTGCCGGCTAAATCTCTAAACAAGATACAGTATGATTTAAAGATGTTGAGCGCAAAAATGACCATGTTTCCTACTACCTCGGTCCAAACCAATGGATACACATGTATACAATAGTATACATTAGTATACACTATATATAGGTATGTATTCTACATTCTACATACATATATATATATAAATGTCTACAACTGACTATGGAAATGTCCTCTGCAGCTGAGTCAGGAACTTTAAAAAAAGGTGTGGTCAATCCGGATATGTCAAATCATAGAGTGGTGCGTTCAAAACAAGTCAGTGCAAACAGGTTTGATGTCTTCGAGCACTACCAATGGAAAACAAATGAGTAGTTGTTAAAACGCGTTGCTCTTCTTCAACTTAAAGAGACAGGCATTAACCTGTGTTGTGATAGGGTTGTTAGCGTCGAGGTGGACCTTATCTTAAACACTCCCAAATGGGACAAAACGTCCTGATCGTGTGCCAGGAAAGGCATGGCAACAGAAGGAAAAGGGACGAGGACGAGGCTGTGGAACAACTTGTCTGTGTCATCCTCGTTCCGTTTCGTTCCAAGCGGTGTGCGTATGTAGGTATGAAAGTCACCTTGGACAAATAGATCAAACGGAAGGCAAAGCTACTCAAAGAAGGACAACCTCCAACATCTGTGCCATATGCTTCCTATTGTTGCTGTACTGGTGGGATGGATGCTCCACAAAAAAATAGCATTAAATCACAGTGAGGTCCACTATGATGTTGGTTAAAAATACAGCACAAAAACGGTTTGCAGCACGATTGGGAGCAATCCTTCACCCGGATGGTAACGTCCATTCGTGCCTGTACATGAACCTGAAACACTCGCTTGTCACAAGCACTCTTATTTGGCAGAATCTTGGTGCACTTGCTAAGTCTGAGTGACTTGCCCTGCGCTGTTGTCCTCCAAAATGTCCTGGTGTCGTGTACAGTATCTGGCAAAAGTAACCCTCAAGGAATGCTATGACGTACAGTGCTGCTGCTTTTCTGCTGTCACATGTCAAGCTTTCTGAGGCAGGAGCTGGCAGTGGTTCTGCGGTAAGGCTGGGAACGTCCTGTTTTGAAAGCTTTGGCGAACCTGTCTTCTCTAACCGTCCCTTCCGGTCTCTTCAAGGGGTACCGTTACCAGAGTCAGTCGAATGCACCCATGGACAGGGTCCAGTCCTGACTCTTCCTCAATATCGAGGAGCTGAGCCTCGGAAATTTGAGATGAAGTGATATGAGGAAGATGCTACTAGGAACAAAGGGCATCGCTACTAGGAGCAAGAACGCTACTAGGAGCTTGTTCAGAAGCCCTTGTTTTTTCATGGATCGGACCCATTGAGGCAGTGCATAGACACCAACTCCTGAAGCAAATGCGCCAGGACCGGCACTTCAAAGTCTTGCAATGCCTGATGCCCATTCATTCTATGCTCCGAGTCCAGGCAGTAAGACAGTCAGCAAAAACCTTATGTCACGCACCCTTGAGCCTTTTGCAACCAACACGTGGAAACCAAGCAGGAATGCAACGTTATGCATACAACCATTTTGAAGCTTGATTAAAGTCGGGGTGCTAAGGTTGAATGATCTCTATCAATTCAACTTAGACCGGCCCCGCGCATGCTCCCATCATGTCGTGTACATTGTCCTGCTGCATTGTCTTTGAACACCTCCCAAAGCTTGGTCTGGAAGCTATCCAGTACCTATCAAACCAATGTAAGACGCCTAACCTGGGAATATACTATACCAAAACATGAGAAAAGGAAGGTAAGGCCCTTTAACGGGGCCCTTTCCTTCTTTGGTTCATATCTATTTTCTTTTTCAAGGCCTCACGACGGTGTATGCATGTTGTGGGTCTCTGCCCACCTGCATCACGTTCATGTCCGCAAAAAATTCAAATGGTCCTTAGTTGGGGTGGTGGAATGTTTGCTTATTGGAACTAAAAAAATGTAACAAACGAGCAAGGGCATTGTTTTTTGCATTGTTTTTTTTTGCGAGTTGTGCAAGCTCTTTGAGCCAGTGTCCGCGTGATTCCAAGGCCAATGGATCATCAACCTGCCCAGCATGGAACTTGCGACATAGCTTGATGTCGTCCCTGACATGAGGACATGCTGTCATCCCTGGACCAGCACTAGCACCAGCACGGCAGCAGCACCCGCAGAACGAAGCGCCGATCCAGAGCCAGCGCCTGCACCAGCACGGCAGCAGCACCTGCAAAACCAAAACGCCAATCCAGAGCCAGCACCTGCACCTGCACCTGCATCAGCACGACAGGTAAAAAACTTATAGTGCCTGGAAAATTGCCCAACGTCTCATAGCTTTCAATGAGTGGTGCCAAGGGCATTGCCAGGGGTGACATCTGTCAGCGATATCCACCCAATGGTGCCTGACACATTGATGCATGCATTGCCTTGTGGTATGCATCGTTTCCCTTTGTGGTAACATGGTGTCATGCCAGGGACGACATCATGTTTGCCCACTCGCCTCATATTCGCGCCTTTTCATGCAGTGAGC